ATCTTTCTTGAATTTTTTTTTTTTTTTTTCCCTCCTAGAATCGAAGCAAAAGTGTTCCACTGATATATCGACATCCTGTTATACGATTTATATAATATATATATATAATTCTCGCGTATATAAATGATTTTTAGAAAAGTTAGGACGAAATTAAAATTGAAAGGATGGCTAGCGACACCGGCCGATTGGACACGTTTCGATGCCTGGGCGAAAATCAAAGCGAAGCCGAAGACGTTGCCGGAACTGGAGCCAATAGTTTAGCACTCAGTTTATTATTATTACATTTCCATTGTTCCATTGTTGAAAACCGTTGGTTTTAAATTTTAAAAAAACCATATCTTTTTTTTCAGGTTAGAATTTCGAAACCGTTGTCCCAGTTAAAGAAACGTATCAAAACGTTGGCCAAACCACGGGAAACGATCGACATGAGCGTTCACTGTAAATTAGATCTTGCGATTTCGAAGGCCGCGTTGCAAGCCGTCCCGTCTAAGAGGACGATGCTTCTCGCTCTCCCCAACATAAAATTATTGGATTTTGGCCGGATTTATTATCAAGTATCGCCGGCGGCGTTGAAATACCGGCCGACCGAGAGAATTCTGAAGCTTAGCAAGCCCCGCATGCTCTTCCTTCCCGAGGAGTGCAGGCCGTCGAAATTGTTGTTGGACGACAAGAAACGGACCCCGGACGAGGAGAGATTGAGGAAGTTGGCTTTGGCGAAAAAATTGATCGATTGCCCCCAACAGTTGACCAAAGACGAGATAGAAGAGCTTTTCACACCTCATGGTATAATGAGAAGCGCGCTAACTTATAAAGTTTGTTTCTCCCCTGATTGAAATTCTTTCTTCTTTTTCCCCCCGCCCCCCCTTCGAGCCCGAACGATGCAACGATGAATTTTGTTTTTTCGATTTCTTTTCCCCCTCCCAACCCGAAATCGTGAACAGATCACACCTTGGATGAGCTTTCTAGCGTTGCCCTCGTACAAGGTGATAAAGGGGAGGAAGGATCCGTTGGCGAAAACGTGGAAGAGATTGTTGATCAAGAAGAGGGAGGAGAGGGGTAAGGAGGCTTTGGCCGAGTTCAAGAAGAAGAGGCAGGAGGAGAGGAGGAAGGAGAGGAAGAGGAAGCCGGAGGAGGTTGAGAAGGAAGTGAAGAAACCGCCGCCGGACGTGAAAAAGAGGAGGAGGGAGGAAAAGGAGGAGCCGAAGAAGGAGAAAGCGGAGGAGAAGAAAGAGGAGAGGAAGGCGAGGGAAAGAAAGGGAAGGAGGGAGAAGACGAGGAAGGAGGAGAGGAAGGAAGGTAAGAAGAGGAAGAGAGAGGAGAAGCGGAAAAGAAAGGAAAAGAAAGAGGAGGAGAAGAAGGATAAGAAGGAGAAAAAGAAGAAGAAGGAAAAGGAAAAGAAAAAGGAGAAGAAAAAGGAAAAGGAGGAAACCGAGGAAGAAAAGGCGAAGAGAAGAAAAATCGAGAAAAATGCTTGGAGATATACGCCTCATCCCTGCAAAGATGACCCATTTCGTATCAAGAAAGCGGCTTTGAAAGGCAAATGTACGCTATAAAATTATATAACATAAATATATATTTATATATATATATATACACATTTTTATCCATTTCAGCAACTCCACGTACGGATACTTTGTCGAAGCCAAAAATTCGTATATGTATGGCCCTCAAAGCTAAACCTTTCGACGTGAAGAAAGCTGCTCTATCCGCCACTCCTTCCGGAAGAGTGGAGTCATTGGCTAGACCAAAGAAACCTTTGAGTCCTGTCGGAAAAAGACTACCGCGAGAGAAGGACAAATACGGGAGACCAATATTTGAAATGCCTGTACGAGATGATTTTTTTTTTTTTAATGAAAATTCGTTCGCAAATTCTTAACTCGTTAAGAGACATTTAATTTTTTGTTTATGCAGGTTTACGGGAAAGTGTTACCGAAAACGAAGCCGTACAAGATGGGCGAATGCCCAGACGATAAAGAAGAGAAGAAACCGGTTGTCAAGAAACGTCCGATCGATCCGATTGCTTACGCGCCTAGCGTCGATCCTTGCATCGAGCCGGAATTGGCGAAGAAGCAAAAGATTGAAAGAAAAAGGGCCGAGAAAATATCGAAGAAGAAGAAGGTGAGAAAGGCGAAACCGAAGAAAAAGGTGAAAAAGCCTGAAAAAGTCGAGGAGGATAAAAAGGATAAAAAGGATAAAGAGGATAAGGAGTTGAAAGAGGAGCCG